GCGAAAACAGCTGTGAGTCTTACTGAGGGTCCCTTGTACATGACAAGTTGCTACTCTCTCGCTGCTTTCGCAGTTCTCTCTTTGTTCTTGGGCTTCCACGGTTTTATTGTAATATGTCGTGGTGCAGATTTCTTTGAATTCTTCCTGCTTAGAGTTTGTTGAGCTTTTTGAATATGTATATTAGCATGTTTCCTTAGATTTGGGAAATTTTGGAAATTATTTCTTCAAATATTTTTTTCTGTCCTTTTCGTTCTACTCCTTCTGGAACTCCTATAAGTACATATTGGTACATTTGGTGGGGTCCTGCAGGTCCCTCAGGCTCTGTTCAATTTTCTTCAATCTTTTTAAATTTTTGCCCCACAATTATTTTAATTATCTTTTAAGTTCACTGATCTTTTATTTTGCCTACTCAAATTTGCTGGTAGAGTCTTTCAGTGAGTTTTTCACTTCAGTTATTGGATATTTCAGTTCCAGAATGTGTCTGGTTCCTTTGAGAAAAAATAGGCTATTTTTAGAGCAGTTTTAGGTTCACAGAAGAGTTGAGCAAAAGCACAGAGTTCCCAGCTAGCCCTGCCCTCCCTCCACCCACATACAGCTTCTCCCACTAGCGACACCCCCACCAGAGGGTGCAGTCATTACGTTACGATTAACGAACCTGCACTGACACATGGCTATCACCCAAAGTGCATAGTTCACGCTAGAGTTCGCTCTTGGTGCTGTTCGTGCTCTGGGTTTGGACGAGTGGACATTGAAATGTGTCCACGAATGTATCTTACAGAGTGGTTTCCCTGCCATAAAAATCCTCTGTGCTCTGCCTGTTCATCCCTCCCTTCCCGTAACCCCCGGTCACCACTGATCTTTTTATTATTTCCCTAGTTTTGACTTTTCCAGAATGTCATAGAGGTGGAATCATACAGCAGACTTTAGCTTTGTTTCTCTCACTTAGTAATATGCATTTCAGGTCACTCCATGTCTTCTCGTGGCTTGATAGCTCATTTTTTTAACATCGAATAATATTCTTTTGTCTGTGTGTACCACAATTTATTTATACATTCACCTAATGAAGGATATTTTGAGGTTTTTT